CCCAAGTGCTGGAATTAAAGGCGTGCGCCACCACCGCCCGGCTGTAACCACCCTTTCTTAAGCACTGATCATAGGAGTCTTTGCCAATGGCCTGTCATATCTTTTGTCAGAGAGGTAAGCAGGTATGCTTTCATTTTGCAGAATAGGAAGTCAGAGACCAAAAGACGGCTGAGATCTGGACGAGCCAGTAATGGTCAATATCCATTTGGCTTCAGCAAGTTCCCTCGCCCACATAGGAGGCCATAGTCAGGACTGCTGAGCTGGACTCTCCCGTTGCTGACTGTTCCTCTCCACAGGTGCTGGTAACTCAAACCTAGGTGGCCCCATGGAGGCCCCAGCGCCCCAGCCAGTGAAGCAGGAGAACTTGACTGTTGAGGCCCTGACGCTCGACTCCCCGTGGCACCGCTTCCGCCACTTCCACCTGGGCGATGCAGCAGGGCCACGTGAGGCCCTCGGGCTGCTCCGTGCCCTGTGCCGGGACTGGCTCCAACCGGAAGTGCACACGAAGGAGCAGATGCTGGAGCTGCTGGTGCTGGAGCAGTTCCTGAGCGCCCTCCCTGCAGACACCCAGGCGTGGGTGTGCAGCCGCCGGCCCCAGAGCGGAGAGGAGGCTGTGGCGCTGCTGGAGGAGCTCTGGGTGAGCAGGAGGCCGTGGTGGCTGTGGTGTGGGAGGGGCTTCTGTGGACTATGCTTCTCAGCTTGTGGCCGCACATCACACATATGCAAAATCACCCTGAAAATGAAGGTGGGGTCTATGGCTGGTGCCGGGGTGACAGTTGCGCTTCCAAAGGTGCAAAGATGGCTCTCCAGTATCATCTGTGTCAGCAGTCCCCAGTTCCTCCCTCAAGCAATAAATAGTTGGCTGGAAGGTCCAGCTGAAGTCTGCTTTGCCCTGGGTTCCCATTAATGTAGAGAAAGGACATCAACTAAAGGAAGTTTCAGGAGACAGCACGGGTTGTCCTCTACTGATGTCGAGCAGAGGGCCGACTGGTCTTAGCTACAAAGTGGAGAGCAACAGGCAGGGAGCCCTTAGTCCAAATTTGGTAGTGCATACCTGTAAAAGAGGCTGAGGCAGAAGGGTCATGGAGAGTTCAAGACAGCCTGTAACTAAGCAAGAACCTTCTCTTTAAAAAGAAACAAACCAGAAAACAGAAGCAGGGAGTGCTGCCATTGAGGACACCTAAGGCTTTGTTATACAGGATTTTTACTAGGCCTCAAGCTTTGCAACATGGCAGATTGTCCATGTGGCTGGCTGGTAATCTTGCACGGTTCAAACTCCCACCTCAGACCAGTTACATGCTTCTTTTGTCTGGTCAGGGTCCAAGCAGAGGCCCCTTCTTTCCAGGTGTGACATTTGAAGGCTCATATATGACTTTCCAGAAGCCAGGACAACAGCCAGCTCTCTGTTGGGCAATTAATTTTTTTTTTTTTCTGATACTGTGTGGTGTTAGTGGGTGAGGTCATGCATATACCACTTTGCATGTGTGGAAGTCAGAAGGCAACTGCAGGAGTTGGTTCTCCTTCTACCATGTGGGATTCAGGATGTCAGGCTTGGCAACAAGCACCTTTACCTGCTAAGCCATCTCTGTGGCCCACCCTCTCTGTTTCTTTTTAGCCAAGGATGGTACAAGTAGTTGCTTTTAATGTATATATCTAGCAGAATTTTAAAAAGAAAAATCCCGTTGAAGATACATGTGGTGATATACACCTATAATCTCATTATTGGGAATAAGTTAGGAGGACTTTGAATTTGAGGCCAGCCTGGTCTACAGAGTAAGACCATGTCTGAAAATACCAACCATAAGAAAAATCTGTCTTAATGGCTAAGTGGTAGGGCCCTCATGATTCAGAGAATTTCCAAGCATGGACATCACTGGGCTCTCTGGGTCTAATGGCTCTGCTCATCTCCTCTGGCCTTTGGGGTTTGGAGGGTATAGGGAAATGCCTTCTAGAGATGGTCTTGATGCCTGTATTATCTGTCATCGCTATGATAAAATACCCTACCAAAAGCAACTTAAGGAAGAAAGCTTCTTTGGGCTTACAGTTCCAGGGTACATTAGGAGCTAGGGCAGCTAGAGAACGCAGAAAGCAATGAACACTGCTGCCCAACTCTTCTCAATTTTATTGTTTGTTTTTCAAGGAATGGCTTGTTTGTGTAACCCTGGTTGTCCTGGAACTCACACTGTAGAACAAGCTGGCCTCAAACTCTGCCTGCCTCTGCCTTTCAAGTGCCAGGATTAAATGTGTGTGCTACCACACCTGGTTCTCAGCTTGTTGCTAGATTCAATCAGAGAAGCTACCCGTGGAATGGTCACACAGTTAGGGTGAGTCTTCCCCCACAGAAGCACAGGGGCTCTTTCTTAGATGATACTGGTCCTGCTGAGGTGCCAGCATAAACCACCATAGCTCATGTGTCTCTGGTGATGTGTGTTGTCCAAGCTGCATTGTAGACTCAGCCCTACTCAGTTAGGAGCTTTGTCCTGTTTATTTCATGTGTCCCCGGTTGGAACAGTCCCTGTCCTTAGTGAGTGCTATATAAATGCTTGTTTTGGCAGTAATGAGGAACACTGCCCTGCCTTGAAGTTTCACACCAGAATGCCAAAGTGTATTTTGCTCCCTCACTTCTCTTGAGAGAGAATGTGACCTTTATAAGATAGAATGACTTGCCTGTGGTAATCCAGCCTCTGGTCTCAGTATACAAGTAGCCATGGGACTGTTTGAGACCCTGGGAGCACGATGTCTGCCAGCCCAAGAAACCTAAAGAAATGCTGGTGGCTGGACTAGGAAACTGGGGAGAGTCAGCTCTGTCCTGTGCCTGTGGTTACTACCTCAGGAAATGCCAAACCAGTTTGTTTCAGAATTGAGGGAAGTCTTAGAGCCCCAGAGGCAGCTTGGAGCTTGGAAACTGTAGCACAAAGTACTGAGTGTATGATGTGTGACAAGAGGAGAAATTAGTAAAAGAAAAGTAATCCAAGGTATGCTGATCCTTAGAGCTCTCAGCTTCTGAAAAGCATCAGAGCAGTACCATAAGCCTTCTGTGGCAAGTCGCCTGGGAACAAAAGGAGAAACAACAGCACATAGAGATACCAGAGACAAAAACTGAAGCAGTGTGGGCAGTGGGCATACAGCAGAGCTGCTGACGCTGGAGCAGCTTACACATGTTTGAACCCTAGAGGGAATGGACTTTTAGGGATGAAATTCAAATTGCCAATGTAGTCTCATAAAGAAGCATTAAATCTGAACTGGAGAGATGGCTCAGCAGTTAAGAGCACTGACTGCTCTTCCAGAGGTCCTGAGTTCAGTTCCCAGCAACCACATGGTGGCTCACAACCATCTGTAAAAGGATCCAGTGCCCTCTTTTGGTGTGTCTGAAGACAGCTACAGTGTATTCATATACATTAAATAAATAAATAAATAAATAAATGCAAATCTGGACCCTGAAAACAAGAGTACTCACATACAATAAACAAACAAATAGAAGCAACAAATCCGAATCCTGAGAATCAGAGGGCAGAAGGATCAGAACAGTGACTGAAGACCTTACACAAAAAAGGCACCAGGTCCTGGCAGTTTTATGTGTTGAACTGCTGCCAAATCTCTAAGGAATGGATCATTCTTAAACATTTTACAAACTGCTAAGATTATGAAGTGGGGTAGCACCCAGCTCATCTTGCTAGGTTGCCAACCCTCTGCTACTATCACCCTACAGTCCAACCAAGCCATTTCAAAGACAACCTGAAAGGGCAAGCCAAGGACTATCTCAAGGAAAGTAGATCCAAGAATCTCAAGTAGAATATTGTCAGCTCAAATACAGCCAAGGATTTATAAGTTAGTGTGTTGTAGCCAGTGGGCTTTACACAGATGCAAAGAATGTTCTGTCAGGAAATTTACCAGTGATGTACAACTCTGACAGAACCTATCATTCAAGGCTGAGCTCAGTTGAGTGATGGGGTAGGACTCAGCAAAGGTCAACATCAGTACACAAGCAAGCAGGGTAAGGCTTGGTACATGCCTGTAATTCCAGCAGAGGTAGAGGCTGGCCTTAGAGTGAGTTCAAAAGATGGCTCTCGGTCTGTAAAGCTAGAAGCTGCCTGAGTAATGTACTGATCTAGTCCACCAACATCAAGTGACTACTTAGGCTGTTCATCTTCCTCCCACACAGGCAGAGCAGGTGCCTACAGGATCCACACTGCTAGGTGCTTATGAGTCACCTATGCTTTTGCTGTGTGATCTAGGTCACCCTCCAGCCAGTGGTCCAGAGCATAAGACAGGAGGTGAGGAGAGGGGCCTTGTGTATGAAACTCCTGCATCTCTCATTTCCTAGCACCAGAGGAATTCTGAGCATTACTTCTTGGGAGTGTGAGCTTAGGAATCCTACCATATGTCCTGATTCTCAACTTAATGCTTTTCTGAGTTAAAAGTTGCTTAAAGTTTGCATTTTACCTAGCCACCAGCAGCTCAAGTCAGATTCAAAACAACAAATGAGTTACCTGTTGCTTTATAACAAATGCCCCCAAAGCCATTCAGTTGCTGTGGCCCAGAGGGTGGGGGACTAGGGGAAATGGATCTGTCTCCGAGCCTCTTAAGAGGCCACAGGGTATTGGCCATGGTTGCCAACACTTGAAGACTGACCTGAGGCTGGAACCCCATTTCCAAGGAACTTGCTTGCACTGGTTGACAAGAGACCGAGTTTGAGCAGCCTCCAGTATGGTACCCAGCTTCCCTTGGAACATCCAGCAAGGCAGCTCAGTGGATAAAGGTTCTTGTCACCAAGCCTGATGAGGAACTAAACTTCACATGGTGGAAGGAGAAAGCCAACTCTCAAAAGTCATTCTCTTGATGTTCATATGTACAGCTTGACTTCCTGTCCCTGTTACACACACACACACACACACACACACACACACACACTAAGGCTTGAGCGAAGGCTCTTCAGTTAAGCTCTTGCTGTTCCTGAAGAGGACTGGAGTTTGGTTTCCAAAACCCATGGCAGGTGGCTCACAACTTCCTGTAACTTCAGCTCCAGGGGATCGAATGCCCTCTTCTGGTCTCCACATACATGTATGCCTATGCACCAGCTCCCAAAACCACAGAAATGAATCTTCAGAAAAACAAAAACAGAACAAAACAGGCAGTAGTGTCGCATACCTTTATTCCTAGCACTCGGGAGGCAGAGGCCGGCAGATCTCTAATTCAAGGCCAGCCAGGACTACAGAGTTCCAGGACAACCAGGGTTACACAGAGAAAAACAAAACAACTAATCAGGCAATAGGATTTCAGAACTGTGTGGAGAGAGGAAGGCAAATACAAGCTATTATAATTTCTCAATTTGGCATATGCTATCTCATTTCAGGGCCCAGCAAGCTCCCCAGATCGGTCGTCATCAATGAGGGCACCTCGGGATATGACAGAAGGCCCGGGGGTCAGCGTTGGAAAGGAAGAGAGTGGGGCAATCCCCTTAGGTGAGCAGCCAGCCCCTTTTCCCACTTCATTGTTGATGAAGAAAGAAGTCCTTGTCTCCCAGGCTAAGTCAGGGACTGACCTGACAATCTTAACTTAGTGAATGCTATAGGGACAGCCAGCTCACACATGTCCTTGCCCTTGGGGAGCCAGCCCTTGGAAGGTGGGCTCAGATATTTACTGTCTGCCAGGTAGGTGATGCTCTGCCAGCCTGTGGAAACTCTAGCATACCTAAAGCAATGTGATCTTTGGAGCTAAGGTCTCCTTGTGCAGCCCAGTCTGATACACTGCCTCAGCCTTCCTGAGTGCTGAGATTTGAGGCATGCAGCTGTGCCCAGATCTGGCTGTAGTGCCTTTGGGTGCAGGGTTCTAAAAGGACTCACCCAAGGGTGGATGCTGCTAAATCAGGATTGGGCCCAGGCAGCCTGCCTTGGGGCCTCTGCACCCCAACATGCTGTTCCTATCCCAGGTGCTATGGTGGTGTTCTGTTATGTATCCAGCCCTGAGCTGGGCATGGAGTCTGTTTCATCGCGTTAGGGTGAGGTGACTCCTTATGTCTTTAGATAGTCAGGCAGACACCAGATATCCAGGAAGAAGCCATATAGTAGCTGAGGGTGGGAATAGGGCAGCAATGGGGGCGTTTCAGACACCGAAGGACGTCAAGTCCATGATGTAAAACTACGGGAACAAAGGTTGTGGATATTCCTAGGGTTCCACAGAACAGATGGGAAACCTAGACAGAGGGGTCATATGGTTCATCTGTCCCCTGTTTCCCTGCTTCTGTCCATTAGCGTGTTCCATTCAGACACCCTCAGTCTCTTAAGAGTGCAGTCAGCCCACCCATCGTGTTCCTCTGTAATGTCCCTCTCTCCCCACCACATGGTTCCTCCATCCGTCACCTTTGTTCTTATGTCAGTATGTACCCTCACCCATGTGTCCATCGGTCCACTGCCCCATTACGCCTTCTACTGCCTTCCCACCTGCCTTTTGTCTCCTTACTCCCTACTCCCTGTCCAGTCAGCTACACATTGGTATTTATTAGGCTGTGTGAGGCTCCTTGCTGGGAGGCACAGGGATGGGAAACCAGCCCTCCGGACCACCTCCCTGTCCCAAACTGTGCTGCCCACTAGCTCTGCCTCAGCCCTGACTGCAGTGTACCTTTCCCCCTCAGGAACCGGGGCCTCCTCCGGGACAGAGGTACCTGCAACGGGGAACAGCGGGGCCATGCGCCCGTACAAGCAGGAGCCAGGCAGCCCCCCACCAGCCCCACTGGCACCCGTCCTCCCTGCCTTCCTGGCGGCCCCAGGCACCGTGTCGTGCCCGGAGTGCGGCAAGTCTCCCTTGAAGCCGGCGCATCTGCTGCGCCACCGGCAAAGCCACTCCGGCGAGAAGCCGCACGCGTGCCCTGAGTGCGGCAAGGCATTCCGGCGCAAGGAGCACCTGCGGCGCCACCGTGGCACGCACCCTGGCAGCCCGGGGCCTGCATTGCGCCCCCTGCCGGCGCGCGAGAAGCCACACGCGTGCTGCGAGTGTGGCAAGACCTTCTATTGGCGTGAGCACCTGGTGCGCCACCGCAAAACACACTCTGGTGCGCGGCCTTTCGCCTGCTGGGAGTGTGGCAAGGGCTTTGGGAGGCGTGAGCATGTGCTCCGTCACCAGCGTATCCATGGCCGGGCGGCTGCGGTAGTGCAAGGGACTTCAGCACCGGGTCCGGAGGGTGGTGGTGTCTTTCCGCCCTGGGCTCTGGGCTAGCTGTGGTTCCAAACACCTGCTGCAGGGCATCATCCCCTTAGAGTCCTCCCAACCCCATGGCCTCTTCCCTTTCAGGCCCTATATCCACTCCTTCCTCCCTTCTGGAATTCTCAGCTTTCACACACCCCTGCGAAATACCCTTCTCTGCCTCCCTCATTCCATCCCCTTTTCACTGGAGGAGAGACTTGCTCTAGGACACCCTTCACCTGGGAAAAGGGACACAGGGAAGGAGCAGAGGCCCTACTCCTCCCTCTCCCAAGGAAGGTGATCTTGATATTGAACCCCAGGACAGAGTCGGGGCCCATGGAGAGAGGAGGTCCAGACCCAGATCTGGTTCTCTCCACAGCCCAAAGGAATGAGGTGGGGAGAGGTGCCCGAGAAAGTTTGTCATAGATGGCAGGTCACCAGCATCTAAGAGAGTAATAAAGTGACTGGCTCAGTGTGTACAGGAGTCTGTGACTCCGGTGATGAGCATCTGAGGCACAGGGGACTTGGGGGCTCCACCTCACACACTGCAGGAAGAAAGAGGAGGTCTGCCACCACATACACTCCCATCCAGGTTGTCCTAGCTGTATAGTTTCAGGTAGGTGGACCCCTCCCTTTTCTGGGCAGTGGTTCCAGTTTCATAAGTCATGGTGCTTGTAATGTCGCCCACCACCATTGCCGAGTTAATAGGTGATTCCGGGCCACTCCTAGATAACCAAGTGCTAGCCAGCAGGTCTGGGAAGCACATTTTACCGAGAAGACTCTATTCTGGACTTGGGAAGGCAAGGGTTGCCCCTTGGCCTCAATTCTTAACAGTGACAGTCCGGGAGTTATAGACCTAATGTCTCTTTAGGAAGTATTTCTTTGGGTATGTAGTCTACCCCAATCTGCTGTGGAGCAGGCTCTTTGGCTGGCTCAGTTCTTGGCCTGGCCCTGCTGGGTTTTCTGGGTACCTGCTTTGAGTCCCTGGTCCTGGCTTCCTCACCAGAACTCTATATAATGGCTGCACAAAGTGGAGGGAGATAGAGGGACCCCAATGCTCATTCTGTTTTTTGTCTTAAGATGGGAACTTGCTGAATCACGCCAAGCTGGTCTTGAGCTCATTGTGTAACCAAGGTGATCACAGATTTCGGGTTCTCCTGTCTCCATCTCCCCAGTTTGAGGATCATAAGTGTTGCACTATGTCACCTGGCATCTTAAAAGGCATATGCCACTATGCCCAAGTTTTATTCTGGTTTTGTTTTGATGTTATATAGCCGTGTCTTAAAACTTGCCATATAGATCAGGCCGCCTCCAAACTCAAGAAATCTGCCTACCTCTGCCTCCTGAGTGCTGGGATTAAAGGTGTGGGCCACCATACCAGGTCCTTATTCTTAATATATATGTGAGACCTTCCTGGAATACATACCCAAAGAAATGATCGAAGCTGGATACAACTATACTTTTAGGAAAAGAATAGTAAGTGTGTGAATAAGTAGCAGAATGAGTGGGGGTGGGGCTCTGGCAGAAATGGGAGGTTCTCTAGGAGATCCAGTTATGAGGGTTATATGATAAGAAATTCGGACTGTGTTCATGAGAGTATGCATTCCTTTGAAGCAATGATGCCCTCTGGTGGTGAGGGCTATTTCTAGAACTAAGAAGAAAGAAACACTTCTGGGAGTTTTTCTACCTCCCAGGTAGGAAAAAGCAGGTGGACAGCCCTTTCTGCAAAGAGAATTCATTCATTCATTCTCTCTCTCTCTCTCTCTCTCTCTCTCTCTCTCTCTCTCTCTCTCTCTCTCTCTCTCTCTCTCTCT